AATGTTTCTTTTGGAAATTATTATTTTAACAATTTTTCATTACTAATTATGTAACAATTACAACAAATATTGAATAACATTAACTAACGAATTGCACTAAATTAAGTGTTGGAAATGGCCTCCTTCGGCTTCAATACAACCGTCTAGCCGCTGCATAATTGAATTTCGCACTCTTCTGAAAATACCTGGAATATTTTTCATTATGTCACATGAATTAATGATTTTATTCCGTAAATCCTCTCCACTTTGAATAGCAGTTTTGTATACCAACGCTTTAAGGTGTCCCCAGAGAAAATAATCTGAGGGATTCATTTCGGGCGATCGAGGTGGCCATGGGTGTGGGCCTGCTCTCCCAATCCAGCGATTACGGTAATTTTCATCCAAAAATTGCCGTGCCACTACACTAAAGTGTGGTGAAGCACCGTCGTGCAAGTACGACATACGGAATCTTTCCATGACTGGAATTTCTTCTAAAAGTCAGGTAAAACAAATTCTAAAAACCTTCGTTATTCTTCTCCATTAAGTTTAGGTGGAAGGAAGTGAGGCCCAATGAGATGGTCACCGACAATTCCAACCCAAACATTAAAAGAAAACTGTTCTTGAAAACCTTTCTCTTCCAATAATTTCCGTGTTGAAATATAATGGAAGAAGTTCAAAGTTTCGGGTTATTTTCGTACATTAAGTGAAGTCTTGTTGTCGGTATAAATAATTAACAGTGCATTACAAGTCGATATGAATGTTTATAATTCATTCGTACGCAATAATCCAACGTACCTATTTGTTATCAATTGATAGTTTGTATACAGTCAACTTCAGATAACATTGACCTTCGAAGCTCGAATACAAAATAAATTCAAAGTGGTCCCAACATACTCACTAATACGCGTATTCCCCAAAACAAACACTGTTTCCAGACACCAGAACTGCAACACTCTTCTCAACGCGTGTTTCACCAACCAAATTGGCGTCTTCGTTGCAGTTCTGGTTCTGATTGCAGTTCTGGTGTTTACGAACAGTGTTTGTTTTGGATTTATTCCAGTTCTCTACCTTTCATCACACATATCCCAGTCGTATAAGTCTAGTGCCTTGTACAATAACTTCTTCGAAAATTAATGAATGGTTTTGTGAAAAGGGATAGTTTGCCAGGGATGGTAATTGGCCTATTTGCCTTCCCCCACCAGTAGTTACCACGTCTATTTGAAAAAGTTCCATTTGAGCAAAAAATTCAAAGTTTTTCTTGCACTAAGGTGCTCCGGTAGACTTAACATTTTCCATTAGATGGATTGGACGCGGCGCTTAACTGCTAAGTCGAAAAGGACCTTTGAGGGTCTCCAGATCTGAGTGCGGTGAAATTCGCATAATCGCTAAATGACAAACAATACGAAATACACGCGGAATCTTTCTGAGAAGAACCGGAATTCATATACCCCATCGAGGTATATGCATTCCGTGTTAGGAATCACACGTTAAAAGGTAAGACCTTGTTAGTCCTCAGCTCGTACAAGTTTTGACTTTTGAGAGTTGTCGTTCGTAGGAGGGCAACAGCTAGCTAACGAAAAACCAGATTTTTTTTAACAGATTCTTACCTGCCTGTGCATGAATAAACAAATAAATGAATGAATAAATTAACGAATGGACGAATAAATGAATAAATGATTAAATGAATTTATTGATTAAATAATGAGTGGATGAATATCACTCGGAGAAAAAACATAGATGTTGTGGGCTAGTTCGTTCTCGAAAGTATGGTGTACTATAGTGTAGTCAAGTATTAGTATGGGCTCTACTCGATTACCTTTTCATCGGTGGGGGAAGCTGCTATAGATTATTAAATATGTAAAAAAAACTGTTTCATGAACATACTCGAGCGCGTCAGATATTGATACCATCAATGTCCTACGTATTTTTAATAATGTTGGTATGTTAATCTGATCGTTTGCATGATGTGGGTGGTTGTACGTAAGGGTTTGCTTGGGCTCCCCTATTATAGTATGTTACATCTCTACTTTATTGAAATACCAGAAAACTAAACAAATAATGATCAGTGTTTGTATGTGAGTAGTCGACTTTTCGATCCTCAATTCAGACGCATAAAAGTGTAAAAACGTTTATAGTCAGTATTTGATTGTAACACGATTTCAATAACTTACAATTTACTGTTTTTTTATTGTTTCAGAGTTGTTTTTCAGAAAAATCAGAAAATGGAGCCAGGAGTATGCCCCAATGTATATTTTATCAGCTTTCAAATCCCCCGCCGTCAATGTATCAGGAGCTGAAACATTTGAGGTTATATATTTTTATTTTAACACGCTTTTATTACTTTGTTTGTTTGTTTGTAACTCCCAATCTCGTGATCTGTATTTGACAGAATTATCGACGTTACTGCTTAATATATTCGCGGGCAGATGGCGCTGTACGTAACATCCTTGATATAATTCAAACTCACTTTATATGTATTTCTTCATTTGAAAAAAGTATTGTTTTTATTAACACGCGCGCCTGCTGCCTTATTTTTATTTAATGCAACAGATGCGGAAATTCACAAATCAGCTTTGAATTTACCTTGAAATTTTGGTTGTGGATGTATCCACAACCACCAGCAGTCTAATTTCCCAATTCTATTCTGAATTGTGAAATGATTTCGCCATGCAGAATAGCGTTTGTTCTTTATTGATGCTGGATGTGGCCACTGCAATGTTTACTTCAAGATCTCCTTTGGATCTTTCAAATTCTTCACTATATTCTGTTGAAGCTATATTATAGACTTTTCATCATACCAAGCTTTATTAAGGAATTAGTAGAGGCTGTGTTCAAGTACTTTCCAGAAGACGTAAACTTGTTTGATGAAACGGGCGCCAACTAAAGTGTTCCAGTTCTAGTATTTGAGAGCAGTTCTTGTATTTGAAGGACTGAAATTCCAAGCAATCAGTGTTTCAACGATTTCTCTCCTGGTACATCAATGGAAGCTGGATTCATAATTCAAAGTACTGGCCCATTTGAGTTGTGAATTTTCCAGGCTGCATGTCAAAATGTCCCAAAAACTATTCCTCTCCTTTCTGTTCGCATACCATGAAGATATCCTCCAGGTGTTTTAACGCGACTTGGTAGCTCTTGTTAAGTCTTTCGAACCACTTGGTCGGTTTCGATCCATCTTCCTGTGTGGAAAAGTAGTATTTCAGTTGAATATCTGGAGACATGGTTCTGCTTGCAAACTCTGCATCCTGCGGTAGCTTTTTTGGAACTAACTGAAGTGCTTCTCTGACAGGACGTTGTTGAAGGCTTCCTACATCCAAACTGATTAGTTATTATTGTTATACAAGGTCTTTTTCAAACATGCGGCAAAAAATTTAGGGACTATTCCTTGGACTATTCTAAGGATCTGTATCTATAGAGTAGGAAGAGTGAGTGTGATTGTTATGTTTTTACCAGAAATTCCTTTCCTGGTTATTTTTTTGTGGCGATTGAGATACCAGCCAGTTCTGTTTGAACCACGCTGTTATTGGTCCCATTCCCCACTTGATTCTAAGGATATTTTGTTCTTAGATGATTTTTGATAGGGTGCTTTGTTATAAAGATACAGGGCCAAAAAAATTTCGACAATAACAATTTTGGTAATTTCAAAATAATGAACGTGGCCGAAATAAAACTACAGCGTACTACACTGGACCTTCCGAGTGATAAAAAATCTAACAGTTCCGTGAAACAGGAGCATTGAAGCGAAATGGAGCACCAGGAAGGCCAATAGCAGTAAGAACGGTAGATGTAGAAGAGAATGTGCTGACCATGGTAGAAGAAAATCCAGGTACTTCTACTCGAAAAACTGCAAATACTTCAAATGTAACGGGACGATTTGGAACATTCTTAGAGCCTATTTGTTGTACCCATACCACATACAACAAGTTCAGGCACTTCTTCCTGCAGATTTTCTTCCACGTATGCCACCTGAAGTCTCTAGTAGATGTGTAACATTTCTGGGAATGATGTTTCATGAATCTTCTGTGGTCCATATAGTTGAAGCGGCTCAGTGTGGAGTCAGTGTTGATATTTTCTCATCAGGGAAGTAAAATTGATCTATCGATGGATAGGATCTTATGAAACCTTACAGGATGTCTTCGATATTCTGCTAGTAGAGAACTGAGTTTTTTTTTCAACTGGAGATAGTAAAATTAAGGCATTATTCCTTCTTCGACTTTTCAGGACTTTTCGTTCCTTCAACTGATGTAGGATATATCAAATTCTGAACTTTCTACTTGCTATTTTATCTCTATCTAAAATCTTCTCCCCAGATCTAATTTATCAATGAACTGGTAGATTCCATACCACTGACGAGTTCGACTCCAAACACTTCTGTGGACCAGATAGCTAAGTTTCACCACAGGGAACTCATATTGATACTTTGGATGGTTTCATTGTGCTGTTTCTAATCATTGAGTAGATATATTTTCTTCAGTAGCCTCCTTCACTTGTGATTGTGTTTGCCATGCCATCAACAGATCTACGAGCATCTACAGTCAATAGTCCATCGATTAGGGTTAGTCTTTATCAAATTATAAACAAGACTTTTTTTTTCAAAACGTGCTGTCTCTCAACACACATGCAAAAAATAGTAAACAATAGTTCAGGCAGTGCGACATTGAATAAATAAAGCCAACTTTCGAAATCACTAGCCTACTACTCATTTTTTATGAAATGAAATACTAGTTTATCTATTTTTTTCACAGGTTATAGCTGGTTCTACAAAAAACCTACAAAAGTCTATGGTATACAAATTTCTTAGACGTTGGTTGGGTGATGGCCTATTAACAACTACAGGTATGTATTTCGTACGTATTTGTCAAGCTGCTGAAAAATAAAATCATGAAAATCAAAAGATAGATAGATAAGTACTATTGTGATCATCCCCATATTGATTTCAATTCAAGAGCCACCGGTAGACAGCTGTTTCAGCCTGTTGGGCATCGTCAGTACCGTCCAGGTGGTCCTCGAAATGTAAATAACCAAGAAGAGTACTTGACAAAAATAACTGCGTAAACGCAAGCGTAACATAAGTGGAACCACCTTTTGATGTGACACAAGTCAACTTTTTAAGTTTTTATGTCAGTGTTGGTGGTTTGACCAATCAACCGACCACTGCGGTAGCAGAAATTTGGAAAGCTATCGTGGAATGCCACCGGAACACGAATCCACATGTTTCTAAATGTTCTTGTAATTCATTAACTAATTAACAGTTTTTTCAAGATATGCCTGAGTAGACATAAGTTATTTATTACTTGCTAAGCCTAATTAAAGATTTATCTTTGAAATTTCCGGTACAAAAATTTCTCATGTCATGACATAAGTATGTACTTATTTCATGAACTAAAAATAGCTCCTTGCATACATAGCTACAACATATTTACATTATAATTGTTATTAATTCAATCAGCCTACTGCAAGATATCTAAGTTACTATGTTAGAAATGTTTGAAACTATCAAGAGTGGTAGTTTGTAGTTTTGTTTTATGACAGCAATTAATAATTGCATGTTGATGTCAACTACAAATTGCAGAATAAAACAAAGAAGACATCGTAGGTACGTGATTTTCACATTATTTTATGTATCCTCATACATGTAGATATTAATAAATTTCATAGGATTTTTAATGGCATCGGAAAAAATTATCAGGATGTGAAACTTTCATTATTTGTTTGTAAACGATAGTTTGGAAGAACTTCATTCTCATTCTCCTGAATTGTTTTTTGAAAATTGAAAAATACCTGATATCGAACCTATTGAAAGCAATAGAGGGCCAAGTACCGAAATTGAACCCATCAGCAAGCATATATAAGAATAAGGGCAAGGGAAGAACCAAAATTAAAGAGAAAGAAAGAAGACAAAATAGAAAAAAAATTTGAGGCGTTCAAGAAAACCTTATTTAACAACTTTCAACACATGATAAAAGAAACCGCCTGTATAGTTGATAGTTTAGTGAAGGGCTCCCAAATTGAGCCGAATTCTGGGTATCGTGTCCTTAGGTGCTCGAAGAAAGGTGGAAATTTGATTGTTGACTGTGAATACTGTTAGTATATCTTCAGAATTTTGAAGAGGCACGATATAGGAACAATTTGAGATATCAGATCGAATAATTAGCATGACCACTGAACATATCTGCAAACATTCAAATTCGTACTCCGTGACCTTCAACAATTGAAAAGTAAGTTAATTTTTTGTGGTTTCAGGCTCAAAATGGCACACCCGTAGGAAAATCCTAACTCCGGCCTTCCATTTCAACATTCTACAACAGTTCGTTAAAATATTCCATGAAGAAACAAGAAAATTAGTTGACACTCTCAAGAAGGAAGTAGATGAACCTTGGACTGACGTTATACCTCTTATATCACAGTTCACTTTGTTTACAATTGCAGGCAAGTCCATGAAAATTATTTAAAGAAGACACTCAGTTTAGCACTATTTATCAGGGTTTCTCATTTCTTTCTAAAGCTTGGGTTGAACCGCGTCTTGAGTTTTGCTTTGTTCGACTTTTCGGGTTCGACTTTGAAATAATTTTCAAGAACTGTAAAATGGCTTGAGATATCTTTGATTTCAACAGGGACACACAACTTGGAAGTCCACGTTGTTATTGTTTACTTTTTCATCTGTGATCACATTTTCTACGGCTGTATTCAATAATCGTTTTGGGTTTACAGTTGGGTCTTTGCACTTCTATTGTTCTTTGTCAGAAGTTTAATCAATTCGATGTTGGTTTATTTCAGAACGTCAATTGCTTCTTTATTTCAGCTATCGCGTCACAGAATGTTTTTGAAAGGTTTTTGATTCCTTGCGAAATGATATTTTTCATTTCGGGGATACTTTACAATACTACTCACTCACATATATCTATAAGTCTAGGGATATTTTTATAACATACTAAATATCATAAAAATAAATGCATGAGGTGTTCCTCAATTTGGGTTATTACAGTAAATGCAAGTTTGAACAAAATAAAGTTGAGTTTAATTCATGAGTTTTTCAAATTCACTTCGAAAAGTATTCAAATTGATGTTTCAAATGTTGGGTTTTAATTTTTANTCATATCACGTCTTGCGTTCATAAGGTTTGTTTTTGACTATTTTACGTACAGTTGAGAAATGAGTTTCGGTCAAATCTGCTTGTAATATTTTATTTTCCTCGTGACCAAACTCAGCTTGTATTCTTTGACAGTACTGAACAAGTGTTAAAAATAAATGGATCATCACCATCAAACCATGTTTGTTTTAGAGACCTCCATGGGTATAAAACTAAATATGGAAAACCGCGAACATAGAGAATACGTTGAGTCCATAAACAAACTCGGCCCACTAATCTTTCATAGATTACTGCGACCCTGGTTGCACAACAATTTTCTGTACTATCATGCTTTCGTGAATGGTTTCAAAGAACGAAAATTGATCAACACAATACATAGATTCACAGACTCTATCATAGCGGAAAAACTGAAGAACTTCAAAAAGTTTGAAAAAGGAGATGGGGAGTATGACTTTTCTCAAAGGAAGAAGCTTGCTTTGTTGGATCTACTCCTAAACGCCAAACTAGGTGAAGGAATTATCGATGACGAAGGGATAAGAGACGAAGTTAATACTTTTATGTTTGAGGTAAGTATCAGTTGAAATCTTCGTTATAATACTCTAGTTGTGACAGAATCAAAATGTTACTTGATAAATTTGTTCATAACAACCTTATCGTTAATTGTATTTTTTGTTTTTCCAGGGTTATGATACCACCTCTACGGCCATTTGCTTCATATTGATGTTATTGTCAATCCATAAAAATTGGCAGGTAAGATTTCTACATCAGCATTCATTTGAAACTAATTATAGATCCGACTGCTGAGAGAAAATTCAGAATCCAAGTATACATTGCGGGCGTGAGAAGCCTCCCATTTTAATTTTCGAAAGGGTCAAGATATCAAAGTTGAACACAATTTTTCTAAAAAAGAAGCATTTTCAGTACTTTTTCATGAAGAAGTCCAATAGTGTGATATCAATTGCCGCCGAGTGGCAAGGAAAGGGTGTCTTGCATAGTCGAAGTAACCGGTATAGTGCATAGTTAAAGCTGTCGGCAATCTCAAAGGACAAAAAAACCAATACATGGAAATGAACTAGTTCACATAGACTGTAGACTTGGCGGTTCGTATTGGATGATTTTTACTAACCGAGTTTTATGATTGGCTGAAGAGTCATAAAATTAAATTTGAAGTCATGTTACGATGACGAATAGAATGCGAGGATAGTTATAAGAGTCGTGTTGTCAATGTTCAATTGAGGAACTGATCGCGATATGAGTGTTGAAATTCGATATTTGAGCAGTTATAATTACTTAAAATTTGTGTTATCTGTTTAAAATGTGGCGTCCTTGGACGTCCTTGGACTAATAGTAATAAGGAGTGTGATAACAACGCAGACTTTTTCTATGTAGTGATTCCAATAGCGATGGTGAACAATGCGAAAAGATATACCAGTGAATAAGATTCGGATGCATTTGAATATTGAAACACAGAGAGTATGTTTCAATGTATACAAGAATCTACGTCTCAAGTTTGATTTCGAGGGAAACAAACTATTACAAGCAACATCAGATTTGACCGACATTCCTTTCTCAACTGTACGGAAAATAGTCAAAAACAAACCTTATGAACGCAAGACGGGATTACCAAAACTTTTAGATGTTCATCTAATAAAATCATTAAAAAAAAAAACAATATACGACTGTTACAAAAGCAATAAGATATCTACAATTGAAATCATAAGGCCATAACATGAGCTGCTGTGTGCTGTTATGATACTCTCGACACAGTTACGAAAGGGTGGATTGATGGTTCGAGAATGATGGTTATTCGAGACAGCTCATCAAAGTACCGAATAATAATTCGAGAAAAGATGAAATACAAAGTTTTTTAATGGATAACAATTTGTTGTTATCCATACCCAGATTTTTTGAGATAGAGAAATAAATTAATAACAACTTCTGCAATAGTTAAGTAATAATTTTAAGGGCATAAAACGATATCATTTCATTTCAACCCATTGATTATTTATCTCATACATAAATAATCATTAGAGCAAATGTTTAAAATATTTTCCTTGAACTTTCCGACACTAAAACAATTTTTTTTCGAATTAATTTCCAACAAAATGATTAAGACTCTTGCAGCCAAGTTTTTCAGTGTCACTATTTTTTAGTTTGGAAGGCCGTGGATTTTAGTAATAGGATATCAACCTGGATGTATAAACCTCTGAAAAAGCTAGTCAGGAAAATATCCAAAACCTCGACGGCCTACAAACCCGAAAATTAGTGACAGCTGATTAACGGAAAAACATATATTTTTTTTAAACTCATTTCTAACATTTTGGAATGTTTCCGGGTTAATGCTAGTACGAGTTACGGTAATTCAGTTTCTGAGCTCCCGTATTGTACCAAATAGATTGTGCAATATGTACTTTCGATTTGATATAGCCCCAAAATAAAAAATCAAGAGGAGTCAAATCCTGTGATCGAGCAGGCCATTTCAATTGACTGCGCCTTCTAATCAACATGCCTGGGTACGTCTGATCCAACCAATCTCGCTGTCTCGCGGAGGCATATCGAATCGTGTCCCATCACACACGTTCCCTACTTTCAGCTCTGTACGTCATTGCTACACCATCGCGGGTCCTAGGAATAACGGTCGGGTTTGCCAGAAAGTATCTAGGAGGTTTTCATCATTCGCGGAACAGAACTAATATACGTCTCGAATTCCTAGTATTCTCCTGAATATTTTCCAGCAAGAACGATATTATTACACCAAGAAATAACCGCGATACAATTATCCTGTTTGAAACGCGAGACTTATAATTTTGTGACAACTTGAAGAATCAACTGTCTTAAACAAATGTATTTCCAACAACATTTCGCTAATCACAAACTATTTGATTTATTTCAACACTTAGCAACTAACGCTTAATTTATTTCCACTATTTGAATTTCTTGTTTAGCCGCTCGATTCACTTTCTGAACTGTCCTCTTGGGTTGGGAAATACCTTTCGAGCGAAGACCTCCCCCTTTCTAAAGCAATTGGCTTTTTCATCATGAAGTACTGAAAATAATTTCTTCTCATACAAATTTTCTTCGCACTGAATAACCACTTATTTCCAGGATTTGGTTCATGAAGAAATATTGCAAGTCCTTGGAGATTCAACAGAAGACCCTTCACTAAACGACTTGAATGACCTAAAAATCATGGAAAGGGTCGTCAAAGAATGTCTCAGATTATATCCAAGTGTACCTTTTATTGGTAGGCTGCTCGAAGAGGATACAATGATCAATGGATTTCTTATACCAAAGCAAACGCTGATGCATGTTCACATTTTTGATATCCATCGGAATCCTAAATATTGGACGGATCCCGAAAAATTTGACCCCGATAGGTTTTTAACTGAAAATTGTGTTAACAGACATCCTTTCGCGTATGTACCGTTCAGTGCTGGACCTAGGAATTGTATAGGTGAGTAGTTCATAACATTATGAAGAAAAGAGAATTAAAACTTTCTACGTTTTTTACCACTTTTATTTGTAAGTAACGTTACTGCAGTTTCGTCCTATAAGGACATTTTCAAACTTATACATTAATGTATACATCAATGCATTAGTTTTAATCCTTAGACAATGATAAAATGAAGATAAAATTTTCATTTCAATGTGAGTGGCGACATCTACAGCAAATAACATGAATTCATTGTTTTTAGGTTCTGTCCGCTTCGATACACAGAACACAAATTGGGGACAGATCATAAAACATTTCCCAATTGCTTATTACTATTTTTTGAAAATCTCCGACCTCTCGATAAAGGAAGAAGAAGAAGATAATAATACGTAAACTCATTTCACTTTTCATTTTCAAACAAGGAAACATTTCTGTTTTTGAATTGAAATGCAATACTTGAAATAGTTCAAGTGTTCAAGATATCCAACAACAAAAAACCAACTAGAAAGCAACTTGCTATTTCAAATATTAGACTACATCCATTGGCCATACTTGTTAGAAGGCTAAGGCCTTCTATATTCAGTCATACTATTCAAATTTCTTTACAATCGCCACGTAGTGGTCGAAAACTCAAATTTGCACTATGCTGGTACCCTTCAAATATATGGAAGTAGATTTCAATAGGTTTTCAATGACACTGTAGGTAGATTTCACAAATAAAATGTGGTCAGGCTGCAGACGAATACGTTTTGAATACATAAGCGCCAGAAAACGCCTCAGATTTCTAAAAAGTGAGGCTGCTGCGTTGCCAATTCCTAGGAGTGTAGGCTCAATTTTTTTGCAGCTTGAAGAGACTTCTCTAAGCGCTTACAGTAGGAATGTGTCATTTGAATGAATTCATCTTAATTCGGAAAAAATTAAAACGAAATTTTACCGCTCAAGTCGGTTTTAATATAGCGAAAGAATTGTATTGATGCGAACGTTCGCTCTGTCATTTTCCAGTAGATAATGAACATTCAAATAGTTATATCACTAACTGAAAAAACTTTTGATTATTCCCACTCCGGTGGAATGAAAATATTAAAAAAAAAGTAGAAATCATTTTACAAAACTCACGTTAACAATGAATTGATTTACATTATTAAGTTTTTTGGGGTCCAACGTGAAGTATCTGTTAAGAAATATATTGGAAAATCTGTTTGAAATATGTTTTCCCGTTAATTTTTCCGTTAATCAGCTGTCGCTCCCCTACGAATTACGACCCTCATGTTGTTGCAGTTTTTTTATATCATGGATGATTTGATATCACTTCAAAAATTTTCCAACTGTTTGTACTCTGTCTCTGTTTCAGGACAAAAGTTTGCAATGCTGGAGATTAAGGCAGTACTCTGTGGAATCTTGAGATATTTTGCTTTGGAACCTCAAGATACACCAGATACCATCAAAATCGTACCAGACCTAGTACTGAGGACGACAGATGGCAAAATAAGAGTCAAATTTAGATCAAGACAATGACGAAATATGAATGAAATCAATCGTAATTCTTTCATATGAAAATTAATTTTTAGTTCAGTGTTCCATAACAGATGGAGAAATAATGTTTTTTGATCAATAAATATATGCATTAACGGTATAAATCATTTTCCTGGTGTCATAACATTAGGATATCTTTATCGGAATTCCAGTACTCAGAAACATTGGAGGGGAAAAGCATAGTTTTGGGGTGTGCTTTGCGTCTGTCTAATATACAATATTTTATACAATATTTTAGTTTTGATTGGAAAATTCCTCAAAACGAACTACTTATAGTTTATAGTTTATACATATAGTTTATAGTTTATACATATAGTTTATTGAGTAGTAGCAGCAGCTGACATAGCCGTATATTTTGCTTCAGTTGTCAATACAAATGGTGGTTGTTTGTTGAACCACGCTGAGCTATTAAAAACGTTTTATTGTATTAACTCACCTCAGTGCTCTTCAGAAGATTATAGACTTCAAGCAGGGTCAGATTGGAAGGTGGCTTTAAAGACTCTAGTATTGCGACTTTCACATAATACATCGAAATGTACAAAAATGATTTCCCTCCACGAGAGTTTCGCTGACCAAGTTAGCACCATCAGAGATGATTCATACTACTTCTCACAGCTAAGATGATTTTTTATATGCATCTAGACGAATCATTACCTTGCACAATGATTGTCAATAAATCAATTCCTACTATTTTGTTATTTTATCTATTGTTATTTACAACTTGTCTTAAACCTAATTTTCATCTACTTGCTATCTGCAATTAAGTATGAACAATGTGGATAGGACCTTCATCACTTTTCATAGATCTCACTCCACATTTATCGATTTCTAAACTTTCGAAGGCATCCAAAAACATGCATACAAGTCTCAACAATTTCGAACATTCCTCACTCATTCTGTGGCAGTTCCCTATGGCATGTTGAACAACACTATATTCCTCTGATCTATAAAATTGAATATGTGAAACATATTCCTTATAGCAAACTATTACAGTTGTTTCGCTGACCAAGTTAGCACCATCAGAGATGATTCATACTACTTCTCACAGCTAAGATGATTTTTTATATGCATCTAGACGAATCATCACCTTGCACAATGATTGTCATTAAATCAATTCCTACTATTTTATTTTATCTATTGTTATAAACAACTTGTCTAAAACCTAATTTTCATCTGTTTTCTATCTGCAATTAAGTACGAGTGCGAACAATGTGATATCAAGAATAGGACCTTTATCACTTTTCATAGATCTCACTCCACATTTATCGATTTCTGAACTTTCGAAGGCATCCAAAAACATGCATACAAGTCTCAACAATTTCGAACATTCCTCACTCATTCTGTGGCACTTCCCTATGGCATGTTGAACAACACTAGATTCCTCTGATCTATAAAATTGAATATGTGAAACATATTCCGCATAGCAAACTATTACAGTTCGCTTAATTTGAGCAAAAAATTCTTCAATATAATCCTCACTTTTCTCTTTCCGTCGTGTTGTCTTTCAGATTGCTCTACAGTTGTTGATGTATACGAAGAATTTTGAAAGCCATTTTCAAATTCAATTTTGCCAAAATTTTAACGAATACATTAGTGTATTTCAAATCATATGGACATTTTTTTATTTTCTCTTGCTAATTAACTTTCTATGTTTGTAGAATACCCATTACTTTCATCTATCTCCTTGATAACTTTTCCTTGATATATCTCTCTAATTCTACAGAATAATGCAGTCAGGCCAAATTGTAATGAGGGCAACGGTTGGAGCTGTCAGGGTTATATCTGTGTCTTCATAAATTCTGCAGTATGAAAATTTTATCTACGAAAGCTGTTTCGCGATTTTTGTGATTTGACTGAAACAGCTTTCGCAATTTCAGTCTGAATCACAGAACTATAACTAAGTTATAGTTCTGTGAACTATAACTAAGTTATAGTTCTGTGATAGACCACGGAACGATAACTTTGTTATAGTTCTGTGGTCTGAATGGTTCGGGGAATTTCGAATTTGTAAAATGGGGGAACTTGATAATTTTCAGTTGACAACGCTGCTGATGTCACTGCTGTCACATTTATATTTTTATGCAATAGAAAGCAATTGATATCCAAATTTAGTGAAAGTCGGTAAAATTAGTTCAGAATGTTTTCAGCCCAGGTTAGTTAGCCTACAATTCACTTAAATTGAAATATAAGAAGTACCCCTTCAGATTTTCAGAAAATGTCTTATCCCAGCTGTCGCAGTTATTACTGAATCAAAAATTAAACCAGAAAAACAGAAAGAAGAATGTCTGTGTAGGCCTAGTGAACTTCCCATATATACCCCAGAAAAAGAACACAGGAGCCCAGAAAGTGTGGAACAACCTGATGCAACTATCGGTATGATAGAAAATGCAATAAGGACAACCCGACAAACCTTAACAAGGTATTCCGACGAAGCTGCAGCTTACAAAAGAGTAGCAGAAGAACAGTTCAACAAGAGCAAGGAAAATGTTGAATGTGAGTTTTTTTACTCAGGTTCAATGAAGTTATGGTGAAGTAAGTCGTAAATGTTTTTATAGGGATTATTGATTACCTGCAAGAAGAAAATAATACAATGCCAAAGGCTGGCGCCATTGGAATTGGTGCTCTTACAGGATTAATATTTGGACTTCGAGGTGGCTTTTTCAAAAAGACACTGTTTGCTACTACAGGAGCTCTTGGAATGGGAGCCGTATGCTATCCAAAAGAAGCTTCAGAGTATGCACAAGTTGGTGCTGTAGAAGGAAAGAAGTATCTTACAATTGCTTATAATTTTCTTTATGGAGGTTAGTTATCACAACTTATTTATATTATATTATTCCTTTCGCGTATGTACCGTTCAGTGCTGGACCTAGGAATTGTATAGGTGAGTAGTTCATAACATTATGAAGAAAAGNAAAACTAAATTAGTTCACCCACCTCTAGATTTACCATCTCTACCTAAAATACCCACAAGCTTCTCTGAAGTTTGGGAATCAGTAAAATCCACCACAGCATCATTTGTTTCAGATCGGGAAGAGAAACCAATAGAACAGGTAATGAGTTCGTTAGAATCCCAAGTCAAAGATGAATCCCAAATCAAAGATGAATCCCAAGTCCAAGATCCCCTCGAAGTTGTTACAGAGTCCTATGACAATGCCATTTCCACATCCTGCCACTGTCCTATCGGAGCTTGTCTGGGGCATAGTGACGATTACCCCAATTCCCCCCCTGTTGATCCTGTAGAAAGTGGCAATACTGATTCTGCTCAGAAACAACTGTGATTCAATCTTAACCCTGGATTTTAATTTCGTGTGAGGAAATTTTATTTTTTGAATCAAACTATATTCCATTCGCTGAACTAGTGATCACCTGGACTTTCTGTGTCTACAAAGGTAATGTCTAGATTCACGTTACTCTTCCAAAACTGAATGATCGAGTATTAAAATCTATCGACCAATACTACTACTATTTGATTTGTGCGAGGGTATCCTCAACATACCACCATGACGTGTATGATAATTATGAGTAGAAGCATTCATTTCAAAAGATGCAAGATTATTTCTCACATAAGTCACACATTTGAATATATATATGCATTGAACTGATAATATATTTCCCCTTACAAGAATAGGTTTGCAGCTATCACGATAATCCATATCAAAAATCAGTCCTATAATGCCCTTTTGGGCAACAAATATTCTATTAAGATCTCTACCACATCCTCATGACATTATATTTAAGGAAATATGCGGATATGCCATTGCAAAATATATACTTAAGAGATTTTTTTTATCTACAATTTCATCTGCTTAATCGCGAAGAGTGCTGCATTAAGTTTCTTGCAGTTAGTTAGTGTTAACGCTTTGCATTCTTTTGTATACAAGAGTTCAGTTTGATAAAAGTGACTATTTTAAAACCCAATTTTGTATCAATCTTTTTTTGAGAACCACATGATTTCAGTCACCTTAAATAAGACAATGAGGGTTGTAGTAGTGTGGAATTTCTTTCCCTTGCTTCTTTTTTGAAACGGCCATACATTTTTTACGTTCATGAATCACATCCATTCCTTTCAAATTTTCATTAATTAGATATACTTCTCAACCAAAATTAATATCTTGGGAATAGGAAAAAGTCGCAGGGGACCAAATCTGGTGAATACGGTGGCTGAGGCATGACTGCGGTGTTGTCTTTTGTTCAAAAAATAACGAACAAGCAATGGGGAGTGTGCAGGTGCATTATCGTGATGCTCGTACGGTCCTCCATGCATGAGGCACAAAAAATAATGGTTTCAGTGACTTCTTCCTGATTAAAAATTTATCAGGTAACAAAGAAGTGTAATAAAGTCATCTAGCTGTTTTTTTTTTCATCTGAAAGCTTGTCAGGTGATAGTTTGTGTAGTATTTAGTAGTAAAGTCAGTGGAAGATGTTGCTTCAGATGACGAGTAATTATGCTTCAAAGCATTGCGGAATGATAGACACGGGAGAACACATAATTTTTGAATGCATACGTTGGGAATAACAGAGATGAAACGCAGAAATGACGACAGGAGAAGTATTACTAGAAAACATGATAGGGAAGATGTTCAAAAATAAAGAAAACTGGGAAGCCGTTAACACACTCTTCAAGAACATCCTGATGAAGAAAAGAACTGATGAAAAACAGAGAGCCCTGAACCATCATTAAAGTCTGCTTTTCCGAAGTAATGCCCGAGAGTGGTTCCAGAGTAGCCTGCTTGACTCGTGAGTGGTTTTTCAGTCTATAAGAATCCGACACTACCTAGTCACTGAGCGACCAGATGTCTTTTGAAAATGTTTCTACTCGCCGAAAAAAACACCATTAACCAGTTACTGGTAACCACGATTGGCCGGTTACTTGTTGCCAGTTACTGGTAACCACTGTTAGCCGGTTACCAGTTACAGGTAACAGTTACTGGTAACCACTGTTAGCCGGTTACCTGTTACCAGTTACTGGTAACAGGTATCAGTTACTGGTAACAGGTATCAGTTACTGGTAACCACTGTTAGCCGGTTACCTGTTACCAGTAACTGGTGGCTACCAGTAACGGAATACAACCAGTAACTGGTTGCTGCCAGTTACTGATTACTACCAGTAACTGGTTGCCACCAGTAAATATCACTGGTTACCACCAGTAACTGATGGAGCTACCGTATAGCGAAAAGCATTTTGAATATAATCTTTTGTGGAAATTCTAGAGTCATTATCATGGATAGGAGTTTCGCTCCCAAATTATCCACTCCACAGTTATACCTCGAAAAAAGAGAGACCATGACTTTCGAGTTTGGGAGTTTCTACATTGTATTTGTACTGTATAGAGCCCGAAGAGTCATCAGGAGCTTTTGTCTTTGAGACAATAGCCTCAAGAGGGTAATGAACCTGGTTGAGTTTTCGACACTGAACAAGATTATCACGGTCCACATCATAATCTGCGGTTACACAAGGTTAGTCCTATGCTTGGAGGTCCCTTCCATCTAAGCACCTAAGCTGTGCTTTCCTCAGGTCCAGTGGATTAAAAATGTATCTCTTGCTGGTTACAAATAGTCGATAAGAACACAGTAGAACTGTTTTCATATTCACAACAAATATGGCCTCTGTGAATAGCCTCAGAAATAGACAGAACACAAAAATAGGCTGAAATTATCGACTGATAATAAATTGGGGCCAGAAATCTGGCATTGCCTTCCGGGGTTCAGTATAATGTTTCTGTTAAAATTTTAAGGTTGAAATGAAATAGTATCTGTAGAGTAGGGAGGGTGAGTGTAAGCCCATAGCACAGCATTGTACATTCTCCCGAGGAGTTGTCATCCTAGGTCATCGTCCATCCTGTCCTGTCTACTACTGGGTCCTAAAATTCTCCGTCCAACCGCTTCCTTGGCTAAAGAGTCGGCAATGCGATTACCTTTACTCCTTTCGAGTCCGTTAACCCACCTCAGGATAATGTTGTTATCTACCGAGGCTTTGAAATGAAATAATAAACATTATTTTATTTTCAGGTGCCAAAATCCAAGTGAATATATCGAACATGGATGCCTTGTTCAAATAAATTATAGAATTGTACATAAATAAAACCTCAAGTTGATTTCTCGGACTTTTATTCAAAAAATAAAACAACTGCTGTGATATCACAGTAAGATATCTGTAATAAAATAAAATAACAATTCTGAAAGAACTCAAATATAACCAATTTCTAATTGAAACTTGCAGTTTCAAGAATTATTTCGATTCAATATCAAAAGACTGGACAGACGACATAATCGATTTTAAAACAAATCAATGGGTATTCCATCTGAAAACGTAAACTGAAAATATTCATTCTTACACACAAAATACTCCAAAAAGTTATGTTGTTTTATGGCAGAGCTGAAATAGACGAACTGGATGTACTTACAGCTAGATTGGAAACTAAAAAATTATGTCCCTTTAAAAAAGAGTAAATACCTTGACTCAATGGTAAATAAAGTACTTAACTTTCATTTAATGTGGATATTTCATTAAATAACTGAATATTTCGTTTTTGATTCGCTTTTCATAATTTTTGAACACACTGGCCCATTACTTGGTGAAAATAACACTATTCATAATAATAGTTCCAAATCTTCAGAATAGAATTCCATATATATGTTTCACTACGCTGGTAGCCATCCAACTGAGGAATCTACTATGAGTTGAAACACATATTGAAATAAAGTTTATACTGTGAAAATTTTTAATAATCATGATACAAATGTTTTTATATTGTCGAACAATTTATAGAACTGAAGTAATCAATTCAAAGGAAATTGAACTGATGTCTTTCCAGGGAAATCACACAAAAATTTAATTGAAGACTAGTGATTCTCATCTCAAACTGGATCGTTGTTATTTATTTTTACTGAACGAAAGTCATTTTTGTGGAGGAAAATCAAATTTTATCGACCTTCTTTTACCCTTTCTACACTTGTGTGAAGTTCTCCATTACAATTCTCATATTTTTCAGACTGTGGGAGGTGAATATACAGAACGTCCATGAAAATATTCAATTTTCCATTAACCAGTAGAATTTCTTGGAATGCTTTGTGAATACTAGACACTCTTGGAAACAATAACATTCAGTGATGATGGCAAATCGAAAACATGGTAAATTTGCACAATGGAAATATCATTCACACCACTTATAAACTGTTTCAAAGTTGATCCTAGCCATAGGAATGTTTATATAAAGTACTTTCATAAATCGAATTCCTACAGCTGACGCCAAATTTAATTTGATTAGATTCATGTTTGCATCAATCATAAAAATGACAAATATTTTCAAACTGTCACTGAGACTAAAAAATCACTCAAGAATTTGAATAAATCGTTATGCAATATATCGAAAATACTGCAAATGAGAAGTTGAAAATGAGAGTTCACCCGGAATCCAGTCCAATTTTGAGGGTACAAATGATTCTTGTTAGTGGAAGTAACAGTTTGTCACTCTATCCAATAGAAATCGATTTTCCAAATGGTGTGGAACTATGCAAGGGTTTTACATTTACACAATATAACGAGCCTCAAAATATGTCTCCGTTTGAAAATAGGAAAGATTTTGCCAAAAAGCAGTTGTTCAAAATGAACCCCTTCTTAGATGATAACATTTTACGTCCCAGAGAATGATTTACTGATGAAGAATCATTGAATATGGACTATGATTATTGATATCCAATGATTTTCAGATTCTAAAGAAATATACACTCATTTAATATCAGCAGACTGGTTTTAATGGGAGTTGAAACTGGTGAAATTTTAGGTCTTGAGAATCAGAGTTGCTGTTGAATGATTCTACAAATATTGCCATGAATCTAAATTTAGGAACAGTAAACCAGTAGTGCTCGAGATGAGAATGTTGCAAGAACAAAGATAGCAACCTGTAGATTGAAATTGCCCTTCGAGAGATGAATGATAGGATAGAAACCACTATCATTGAGTATTCTTGATCCCTGAGATTGGGTAATTCAAATGAATAATTCATTTTTTTTCAAGGCTAATTGCTCCTCAGATACCATTCTTTGTAACAGCCAATTTTATGATCGTTCAAAGAGAATCAAACTATTCCCAAAAACATCCAGCCGAAACTAAAATTTATTTGGATACCCTTCCATATCCGAAGTTATTGCATATCTGATGTACATACATTCAGTCCGATTTCTTCGCGAGTAACTTGAGTTTCCAACATCACAAACATGTTAAAAAGCAACTTACCTCTATCATACATAAATACAAAACGGAAGTTATCCATAATATTTGAAATAAACAATGTTTCTGTGACTAAAAACCGTAACATAAATATCGCAACAATATAAACTTCATATCAATTTGAAAGTTACTTAACCCTATATGGACTTTTGATCATTTCATCGAGAGTAGTCTGCCTTTTCGATCTACCCACATTACGACTACTCCTTGTATTGTGCACACCCCTATTCAATTCCTCTTGCAACTTTTTAGCAAACTCCAAGTCTGCTTTTTCCTGTAACAACTTTCTCGTGGCACTGTCTTCCATTTCGTGAACTGTTCCGTTTTTCCTTATATTATTGGTAACTTCTAATTTTTTCACCTCACAATCTCTTTCAAACCCATAAAAGGGGGGGCTGTCCTCATTCTTCACATTATTCACAGTTTTTCTTCCGAATAAATGTCTTTTTGCTATGCTGCAAATGTTGTAGTTAATGATAGGGGATTTTTTTTTCTCATTCTCTATTCCTGATTCATCGCACTTTGTTTTCTTTTCTTCTGAAGTCACAATATCGTCCTCAGACCGTAGTCTCTTCAGCCCACCTGTACGCTCACCATTGTTTCTATCTTCAGGTGAAGTAGGCGTAGGCAGAGGTGATACAGGTAATGACAGTGATAAACGGACAAATGCTGATTCGAGATCATTTGAACAAAAATTCTTCAAACCACTCGGCGACCTGGAAGATGAATTTCAAAAATTGAGATCACAAACTTGAGATAAGATTCCAGTTCAATAATCACAAATGTCTCTGAAATAACAATAACAAACGGTACCGACTGATTGACAACCCCGAAAATTCTACCCATATTCAAGGTTATATCATGATTCTTTTCTCCCAAAATCTTTTCGAAATATGCTGAGAATCTTCATCACAACATTAATTTTATTAATTAAACTCTGCACTGGTTGTCAAGTGGATATATTTTTCTCTATAAAATTTCAGTGGCACAGGAAATTTTCAATATTAAATAAAATTAATTTGGCAATTAGGATTTGATAATGACGCTTCAGAATTTCAATACAAATATAACATAACTCTGTTAAAACCTGGTAATACAATCATGGTTTGAATCAAGGCTCAATAGAAGGTTACTTACTGTAGAACTCCGTTTGAATTTTGAGACTTGAGAGAAGAGAGAAATTTAACCCCTTTTTATGATGCTACATTAAAATTGTACAGCAATAATCGATGAATAAAATTGTAATTTCTAATATTAAGGTAAGTAATGAAGAAATTGGCTTTTTAGTCTGCTTCTGACCCTTAAAATGAATTTTGTTAATCAAAAAATCACTTCCGTATGGCATTTTTGATTGTTTCTTTCCTTGTAGAGATATCTGAAGTTTTCTTAATAATTTTATAAGTTAGCTACTACATAATATTCTATGCCTTTTTCGATAACAAATTATTTCTTTCTTGCATTTTCATGATGATGAAATATCAAATATTAGAAGGTATACTTACATGATTTTTATTTCCGCATTTCTAACAAGCTTTTCAGATTCTATACAATCACTGCTGTCACTTGCAGTACCTGCATCAACAATTTTCTGGATTTGCTGAATTTTTTTCTTTATTATCGGTGAAAAAATTTGGGTGCGATCTTTATTCTTATCAACAGTATCTAATCGTAAAACTCTGCACGTATATTCTTTAGTATCATAATTATTGTAGGTGGATTTTCTATCTGGCCCTTCATTTTCAGACGTGATCGTTTCATTATCTTTTTTAATAAACTTGTCCATTGGTCCAGATTTTTTACAAAATATTTTTGATTTAGAGAAAGAAGTGCTCAAACTCATCTCAGATGCTAACTTTTTAGCGACCTGCTCGTCCATCTTCAATTTTTCCTCTATCACAGCCTGCTGATAATCTTCCTCATCTTTCAGTTTCTTTATCAATTCCTCGCTTGCCTTCAGTTCCGCTTCCTGTAGTTTCCTGAGTTCTTCATCCTCTTTTTGTTTCTGGAGTTCATACTCTTTCCTTATTTCACCAGGGTGGGAAACTCTGATTTCGGGTTCTAAAACTATTTCCATTAATAAATTATCATCAGTTAAAACAAACCATTACTTTCTTCTAAATTATCATCTACACCTATACGTTTTCTTTCTATCTGTTCTGGAAAATTCTTCTGGATAGCTTCCCAGAACTCTTCGTTAACTAATTTAGATTCCTTCTTCACTCTTCTCATCCAAGATGCTATCCTTAGCCTGCACAATGGACAAACCAAGTTTGCATTTTCCATAGTTCCTTCAAAACATGATAAGCAAAAGTCGTGACTACATGGTAGTGACACTGGTTCAATAATTATACTCCTACATATCGGACACAGCACATCGCTGAGATTTAATTCATTATAATCTTTTGCTCTAGACAACTTTATATTTCTTGAAACTCTTACTCTTTTCGAAGCCATGTTAAATAAATAATACAATGTTTTGACATATGACTTGAGTACAAGCATGATGCATGATGCATGTATCCACAGAACTAAATTAGTTCTGTGGTGTCGATAATCCATGAGAAATCCAACTACAAACCTGCATTGATTAATATAAGGCACAGGTGAAATTAATCAAAGATTTAGAACGTGATGGATGTCACACTATTAATCAATCAAACAAAGAAAACGATTTTGCAGCATTAATGAGCTCATTGTCGAAGTCAAGGATTCGCATCTTTCTGGTCTTTTAAAATAAGTCTAGAGTGTCTTATTCCCTCAGAGGAGAAAAAAATATGGAGATATCCTTCTATGCTTATTCATGTACCTGAAATATCAGCAAAGTGTGTTTCTACAAAAACCTCTGTCTGTCTCTGTACAGAAATAAATGATGTCAGATCGGTGTTTGTCATAACATCAACTGTTTTCGACTTCTGTCAAGGAGTGACATTCTTATTTAGTTCTTGTCAACTATAAAAAACGTTTCATAAGTATTTCAAACTATTTTATATTCTCAAAACTGTGAACAAATTTTTCAAGACCAAAAGGAATTTAAAAAATTTCATTTCAGCACCAAATTGATTCATTGAATGAAAATTACCGATTAATAATGATCCTATTATATAAAGCTCTAGTTCGCCCACATTTTGGCAGCGGCAGCATATTTTTTGGCAGATGCATGAAAACAGTATTGTACCAGCTCGATAAAGTACACTATCAAGTATAACGCGTAGCTTTGGGTTTCATGAGATCAGCACACACCACAATTCCACTATCAGAAAGCTCAGACATGCCTCTTGCTCACAGGCGAAATTGGTTGGGAGTGAGATGCATTTCAAAATTTTTATCTTACGTGAATCCTAATATTCATTCCGTAATTGAGTTGCATGATACATATATTCAATATTCTACATATTGGCGGCTCAATTGTCTTACCCCCATTCTTACTGCATATATCAGACTAATACCCTACATCCCGGATATTATGCTACTTCCCAATTTTCCTTGTTGCAGCTGTGGTTTACATGGTCAAATCTTCCCAAGTCCCCTCCACGAAATGAATCTCTCCAAAGGGAACGACAACCACCGGGATTTTCTCAGATTCGCCAAGCAACAATTTGCCAATCATACATATTTTTTCACACGTTGGTATTGACCTTATTAAGTGATGCGACCCCATGGTTGCCAACTGCGGTAAAATAATTAAATTTGAAAATTTGACATTTGCTAATGAATAAATACCTATCAAAATGCAGAGTTCCTTCTGCATTTTAATTTTTGCGAGATAATTGGGACAGACCATCTTATATTTCTTCATAGCTGATTCTTCGTTCTAGAGCCCCACTTCATATAGGACGACTGGAAATCTCTTCTCGGCCGTGTTCTGGAAATCAGTTTCTAATTTACCGAAATTGAAAATGCAGAAGGAACTCAGAAAGATAGGTTATTTATTTATTAGCAAATGTCAGATTGTCAAATGTCATTATTTTACCGCAGTTGGGAATCATGGGGTCGCATCACTTAATAAGGTTAATTGTAGTTTTTTCACACAACCCACACCATTCTGGACGATTATCCTCTTTATTTTCAATATGTGCAGCTGAAATCCATCCAAGAAGCAGCTCAGTTGTTGTTGACAACGATATCAAACACGCAGTCATCGTTAGCGACACAAAAAGCGCCCTGACAAAAATTTCCCGGTCAACCATATCTGCAAACAGCGATTACCTTTCATTACGTACCAGACAACTGATATACAGAGCCATCACAAAGGGAAACAACATACCTTTGGCATGGATCCCTCGTCATTCTAACATCAAGGGTACTGATACAGCTGACACCTTAGCCAATATTGGAAGAAACCATTCACTCACTAATCGTCCTCAAGCAGACTATGAAGAGTTTCAAGCATTATTGAAACATAATATCTGGATAGACTGGACCAATCAATATAACGGGAACAGACAATTCAAAGCCAAACTTTACTTTTCCTCTGTGCCACAACCTTACAAAACTCCATGATTCAAGGATCTGGCTACTTGTTCTCGTACAGAAATCATCAATATAAGCAGAATTAGGAGCAATCATTCCCTCAATAAAGCGCATCTCCACATACTCAAGATAGTTGATGACGACCGCTGCGAATGAGGAGAAATACAGACTCTCCTACATATATTCTTTGCCTACCCTAACAATTCTCACAATATACAAATGCTTCCTGCCTCTCTCAGCATCCCTCCTTCAACAATTCAGCCTCTTACCTTCCACGATATCTTTTTCAAACATATATCACCATCTAATTCAGGTGGGGTTTGGGTACAACACAGATCCACTTCAGTGTGGGCTCCACCTGTAGTAGCAACATGATCCTGGAACTCCTGGCTGGATAGCCCTGGCAGCTGAAGCCATTAATGAAAAAAAAAAAAGAAGAAGAAAGAAAAACCGTTGAGTGGTGTTTGAATGAACTTATTTGACATCTACTTTCAAAAGTTTAACCATAAAAATTTGTTTGTATTTGATTTAACGAAGAATATTTTAAAATGAAATGATATTCCGACTGCAGTTTTGCGGAAAAGGAGCAATGTGACATATTCTACAACAATAAATGCTTGTAGGGTGTTGGAAAACATGGTTAACCGAAAATCAACTCCCAAGAGGAAAAAGGCGCCAAGTAAACAAGTTACCAAGATCTTCAAACTTCACAATAAAAATTATAAAATAAATGTTACGACTCTTAGGGAGATAAAAAGACTTCAATCAACAACAAGTAATCTTATCCCTCGTTTACCCTTTGCTAGAGTTATACGAGAAATACTAATGGAACATACAACATCTGACCATCGAGTGCAACTCGAAGCTCTACAAGCTCTGCAGGAAGCCGCGGAGTTGTATTTAGTTCAATTGTTTGAGGACGCTAACAGGTGTGCTTATCATGCTAAAAGAGTAACGGTGAAGCCAAATGACATGAACTTGGTTCTAGAGATTAGGGGAATATTAGATCCAGGATACTCTTAGTTGTGCAGAACAAAATGGGGATGACTGCACAGTCTGGTAGTATTTTATACTTTTACTGAAACAGTAATTTTAGATGTAAGTGTTTTCATAGTTCAGAAACTCTACAAAGTTTTATAAATATTTTTTTATCTGGTTCTATTTAGAACAATGACTTGAAATGAACCTGTATTATTTTGTTCATTTATCTAATGGGACATCCTTGATTCTGAAAGAACAACATTGTTGAGAAAAAACCATAAATTTCACAAAAGAATCTCGTTCCAACCTAGAATTTTAATTTATGTCCATTGAACAATTCAATTTTATTGTATATCTGTTTTAACAATTAGATTTTAGTATATGTACAAATAATTAAAAAGTGTTAACAGATTTTTAATAGGATGTCATGTTTGAGAGGCTACAGTTGACAAATTATATATAAGTATGATCCATTGTAAGATGTAAATTCTAAAAATTGTTTAACATGTTTCTTAATAAAGTTATGATACGTTTCAGTTACACTTTGGTTATTTATTACATAACTCACATAGTTTTAAATCAAATGAGCTCATGAATGTCAATACACATTATCATTGTGACATGAGTAAATTCAACTCGTCCTTCTTCAGATGAAGAAAACTTCATCTCCTGAAGATGCCAACTTGGTTAGTAAAACGTGCATCGGGAAGATTTTTGCATTTCTGGAGATCGGGAAAAGTGCTTATTTTGGATTTATTTTACGTCAGAGTTTCCAGTTTTCCCTTTCATTAGTTTCCAAAATGGAAAAATAAATTTAACGTATGCTACTCATCTCTTACAGATTACGGAGGGACATGAGGTCATTCATGAATTCAAAACTCTTCATTTCCAGTAGAAATGTTTGAAACTTGACCTTCTGGAAAGTATTTTATAGTGAGAATCAAAATAAATCTTATTAGTAAGTTTTTATAAAAGATCTCGGGAGTAACTATATACACTGACTTGAATTTTCATGTTTAAATCACAACATTCATAGAAAACGAAGCTTTGAAAATCTTGGTTATCATAAAAAGGTCAACCTCTGACTTCTTCAATATATCCACATTACGAACTTTGTGTTGTTCGGCAGTCAGGCCATTCTTTGAGTATCACTCTGTAATTTGGAATTCCTATTACAAAATACATTTTAATAATACTGATCCAGCATAGATTTATCGATTACATTAACTTGAGGCTACAGAGGTAAGCATGAAGACTTGATTCGACTGCATAATATCATGTTGGGCATGGGATGAACCCAGTTTTCATGAATGTTCCTTTCAAAATTTTCACACCATCCATCTTAATTCCTGTTTTTTTCTGAATAATTCATGTATTTCCTTGCTAAGAAACGCACGTTGAAAGTGAAGTCCTCGTTAATTCGTATCTCGTACTAGTTTCGACTTCAGAGAGTTATCGTTTGTGGGGGGCAACAGTTTTAAAACTTCTTATAATACAGTCAGTATTTTACACAGTAGCCCTTTTAAAGATAACATTGGATTTTTCTTACCACAATATTCTTCAGCCAAGAATTAATTTCTCATATCAATTCAAGTCAAAAATCCAAAAAAACTGGGTTAATAAAATCAGTTTTGCACCCACCCCTAAGTGTATTACTTCAGTGTCTTCTCTTCACATTTTTTTCCACTCACCATTCTCTTGCTAAGAAACTATTGATACGAATTTTCCGTCGAACGCATATGAAGAAATCGGTTTTGGTTTTCGAACGATATGCTGTAGAGGCCAACTTAAACCAGTGTCAGCATAACTGAGTGATAAAATTACAAATTCAAATATAAAACTGAACATTATATTACTCAAATGTCGCGTGATTCAGAGTGAAAAAAATTTAACAATAGAATGATATCAAATTTGTCAAATAATTTTACCAGAGTTGAAATTATCAGGTAACCCTATTAGATATTGAATGCCATGTTTTACAATGCAAAGTCAAATAAACAAAATTAATGTGATATAATTAAAATGTTTCCCTACATATACAGTACGCTTTTTTAATTTTTTTTCCTCAATACAAATTGAAACTTAAAAATATTTCCTTGAATCATTACCTACAATATCCTTTTATTGTTTAGGTTTTTGTTTCTGAAAAGGGGGATTTCTTCCACCGGGACCACCAGGCTTACTACCTCGACCTCCGAAGTTACCTGCAAAATATACCAACTCATTATTGATCAGAATATTAGAAAAATTTTCAGTGTACTGCCTTTTGGGGGAACTAATCGCGATCCAAATTGACAGACAGAAAAGTAGTTGGTAGCTAATTGTAAAATTCTAAACTGTAATAAATAGAACTGTCAGTTTCAATTATGGAAGCTATTTTTCTCCTCATTAATTCGTCTATAGCGAGACCAAGAAATTTCACATTCAAATCCTTTTTGTAAAATTTAATATTGAATTGAATTTTTTGGTTCCTCATATATTATATGTAAAAGCAAAAAATACCTCTAGCTGCTGGCCTGGTTCTTTGATTTGCTCCACCTCTTCCACCTCTCATATCTCCCCTGCCTTTGTTTTTAACGATAGTATCTTCTTTCACCATGTCGATGACTTCATCAGGGATTCGAAGATATTTTATTGTACTTCCACGAATATAGCACTCTGGCATCCTCCAAAATTTATCTCCATCCTGTGATAAAGAAGTATTAGACTGGAGATCAAGTGAAGCTGGTATTATACTTGGTTTATTACTATTATTCCCTCATTTATTTAACCACCCAGTTGAAAAACATTATAGATAAGCATTTTAGAATATGAACATTGGTTGTTGATAAAAAAACTAACATTTGAAAACATCGAATTCATATTTCTGTACAGAGCGGTGAAATGTCATTAACTTTGAGGGATGTCATTCGTATGCGGACAATGGTTGGTTGATGCAAAAACCCATTTTGACCCTTTTTTTAATTCATCCCATTCTTCAAAATATATAAAACACTATCAGCAAATATTTAATCTCATGGATATTCATCCAAATTTGCACATTTTAGGTACAAATAGTATTAACATTTTTTTACCCGTGAAGTGCAAATAACTTCTCGAAGATTTATATTCATCCAATTGTCGCAACTGACTAAGTGTCCATTGTAGGTTTCACCATTTTTCAGTTCAACTAGCTAAAAGAGAGTATTCTTAGTACATTATTGTTGATCTGAAAAAAAAATTACCATAGGATGATTTTGGGCCGTTCGCAGCAGTGACAGAGGAAGCTGAAATTAAACGGTCTCAACAAAGAATTTATATATTACATTCAACTTACCATATTTACAATTCAAAAATTATAACAAATACTTTAAATTGGAATAGTAACAAATAACCTAGTTTTTTAAAAACTTTTGACATATTATGATCATTCTTCTTCAGATAATAGTTTCGCAGTTGCTTGCTTGCCAATCTTCTGTAATGACGGTAACAATTAATATTCATGAATCAGAAGTCAGACGGCAGTGCATAATACATTTCACATTTTGTAAGATTAGTGAATATAGTTTGTTAAAAGTACTAGGGCTTTCATTAGTACGAGTGAATAATCATATACAGTCCACATTGGTAGCGGGTTAAACCCCTAACAGACAAATTAGTTCGAATAGTACAAAAAGTCGTCAAAGTTGTTCTCACGATTTGAGAAAAACAAAGAATCAGTTAATTACTTTCTAGACCCCATGAATTACAGAATGAATTTCCTTCTATGGAAAGTTACTGCTGAAAACTTGTTCGAACCTACCATTGTCTTAGAGGGCTGTGAGAGCACAGGTAAAAAAATAATCAAGAAAAAGAATTTTAGTACTCTTCTTGACGTGTCAACGTTTCAGTTAACACGTCAAGCATTTCATGCTTGCATGAAATTATGTAAATTTCATTATGAATAAATTCTACATTCAAGAAAGAGTTATGAAATTATCTAAATTTCATGAGGAATAAATTCTACATTCAAGAAAGAGTTTATAACAGTTTATTGTGAGATTTTCACCAAACAGTTTTACAAAAATGCAACACATGTTTCACCATACAATAGATTCTTCAGGCGTGTTGCGTTTATGTAAAACTGTTTAGTGAAGATCTCACAATAAAGTGTTTCTTGAATGCGTTATGGATTTTCATCAAGTATCGGCAGATTCAATCACATAAAATAAATTATATTCTATTATACCCTTACCCCCGAAAAACAGAATATAGGTCACAGAAACTGAACCCATCAACATCAAATTGCCGCCAAGTGTCTTTTTTGTAACTACTTTTTGACTGAAAAAGTTACAAAACATATGGCAACGTTGCTATTGCATAAGATTTCGATATTTCAGTTACTTTCAAAATGTAAACAATATTAACCTCTGAATTTAATTGCGACTTTTTCAACATAACTTCAATTTTACGTGTAAGAAAGAAAAAAAGTATATTTGGTTAATTTCACATTGACTTCAGACGTTTTGCTAAAATTCCGTTGTGACAGGTTACAACGTGTGTTAAAATTCGCGCCAAATCGACCATATAAAAGAAGACACTCTTATTCCCGCGTTTTATTTTATAAGTTACTTAGTTCAGTGCAGGTCTCTCGAAAAACTTTGGTAAGATTTTTAATAATTTCCTTTCGTATTGATATTCATTCAAAACTATTTTAGATATCAAAATGCCGGCTTACGATAAAGAGAACTCAGAAGCAGTACTTTCCAAAAAAGCTGAGAGAATGGTTTTATCTCCTAATAAGGCTAATATTCAGACGCCCCAATCTCCCGCCAAAAATAGCTCAGTGAAATCTAAATTAAATATCCAGGATGGAACGGACGTGGATTTCGATCCAGAGCTAGAACCCCTCCTAAGAGAAAATCCTGGACGGTTTGTAGTATTTCCTATTCAGTACAAAGATATATGGACAAAGTATAAAGAAGCAGAAGCTTCCTTCTGGACAACTGAGGAAGTTGACCTGTCTCGAGACTCGAAGCAATGGAAGAATCTCTCTAAGGACGAAAGACATTTCATTTCGCATGTTTTAGCCTTTTTCGCTGCTTCTGATGGTATTGTCAATGAAAACTTAGTCGAGAGATTCAGTCAGGAGGTTCAGATACCAGAAGCTCGCTGCTTTTACGGTTTTCAAATAGCTATGGAGAACATTCACTCTGAAATGTATAGTATTCTGATAGAAACCTATATACAGGACCCTACAGAAAAAGAATATTTGTTCAACGCCATCGAAACGATGCCTTGTGTAGCGAAAAAGGCGAATTGGGCCCTCAATTGGATAAGCTCCAAAAGCTCCACTTTCGCTGAACGAATTGTAGCTTTCGCTGCAGTTGAAGGGATATTTTTCTCTGGTAGTTTTGCAGCTATATTCTGGTTGAAGAAGCGTGGTTTGATGCCAGGTTTAACTTTCTCAAATGAATTGATTTCCAGGGATGAAGGTTTGCATTGTGACTTTGCCTGCCTTCTTTTCTCTCATTTAGTTCAGAAACCGTCGCAAGAACGTATCACGAATATCATTTGTGATGCTGTTAAAATCGAACAAGAATTTCTAACTGAAGCTCTGCCTGTCAGTTTAATCGGAATGAATTGTAATGCAATGTGTACATATATTGAGTATGTTGCTGATAGGTTGCTGAAGGAACTTGGTTGTAATCAAGTCTATAACTCAGAAAACCCTTTCGATTTCATGACAATTATTTCAACTGACGGTAAAACAAACTTCTTTGAAAAGAAGGTGGGAGAGTATAAAAAAGAAGGCGTTGCAGAGAGTATTGATGTAGATTTTACTGTAGAGGGTGACTTTTAGTTATCTAGTGGTACTATTTAATTCATCTTGAAGATTTTCTTACACATTTCTTCGTGCTCTTCATATTTTATTCTGCTAATATTTGGATACAAATCCCAAATTTTAATTTTAATGAGGAGTTAACTTATTTTTTGAGTGATATGTCCGTAATGGATTGTTTTATTCTAAGAAAATATACTATAGTATCTTTATGCTTTAAAAGATGTTTATTCCAGCTTCATTTTTTAAAAGAAAAACCAAATTAACTTCATCTGACTTACTTTTTCTCGAGAAGTTATTAAAGTGACCTTGTGAAATATATTGCTAAGTAACTGAATATTCAATTTTTGCAGTTTCTGTCACAATTCACTCATTTTCATGTTATTTTACCACTCATTTTATTTAAATTTTATCTTGACAGAATCTCTGCTACGATTAAAGCTCTTATATTAGTTTGATATTGGCTTCAG